TTAGCTTCAAGGACTTGTCACCTGCCTGGGCCTGACTCTGAGAGAGCTCAGCAGGGAAATAGAGCATAGAGCACACAGTGACACCAGAAGCCAGAGAGAGACTGGGCCCATGACAGGGAGTGGGGAGCACACTAACCCCTTCCAAGGGCAGCGTCCCGTGACCCATCCACCTTCCGCTAGGCCTCACCTCTCACAGGTCCCACCAGCTCATAACATGGGTCATAACCAGGGTCTTGGACTCCTGCTGGGGAGGGGCTGACCTTTGACCTTTGACCCCTCCAGGTTCAGCCTGGTTAACTTGCTGTCCTTTGGTTCCACATTGATCAGGAATCAATCAGTGGGCAGCCGACGGGCTCCCCAGTGTGGATCTCAGCTGTCCAGGAAATCTGCTGATCTGGAAAGATTCTCGGACATTGTTAACAGCCCCGGGAGCGTGCTGTCACGCGCCTGCCCTTTCCAGCCCACGATGCAGCCAGTGCAGCCAGTCTGCCGTGTCCTCTTGGTGACATTCATTACTTACTCGGAGCCTCTGTAGCTCTGTAGCCTCAGAACGTCGTCCAGGATTCTAAATGAGCATATTTTCTTCCTCTTTTTCAAGAATTGTCACTACAAACTTGATTTGGAGGCTGCCCCGTTATGTGGCAGTTACGGTGACTTAAGCTTCTGCCCTCTAGTTCACTTTCCCTGCCTGTTTACCCCCCGTCTGGCTCCAATGTTGGAACACGTCAAGCTTCTGTCACTTCTTAGCTCTGTGACCTTGAGTACACTGCTTTATATTTCTGAGCAGAACTACACCTACCTCACAGGTTGATGGTAAGGATTAACGAGAGCATGCAGAGCACTCAGTACGGTCCAGGGGCATGGGTAGCCACCCTCCAGAGGAGATGCCAGGGGCCCCTTACTCACTCCTGTGTTGCAGGGGTACCTGGCTCGTAATAGCTGCCCAGCAAAAATTTTTAAATGCAAAATAAAGGAGTGGGGGTATGTTTGTGACAGAAATCATCTGTCAGCTCTAGTCTAGGTCCTCTATGGTCCTGGGCCACCTTCCTCCTGGCTTCAGAGTGCCGAGCCCACCTTAGTAGCCAGGAGGCCATTTACAGGGTTCTGTTGATGAAAGAGCTTTGTGCAGGGAGAATGTCTTCCTAGGTAAGTCATTTTCTGCCTCTTCGGTCCTTTAGCAGTTCTCACACGTAGCTGCACAATCCAATATCAATGACAGGGCTGTCCCCAGAGATCTGCCTCTGCTGGTTTGGAGTAGGGTTTATAATAGGGATATGCAGCCAGAGTCAAAAGTCCTGTGCTTTAGTGAAGAGAATTTACTGAGTGGAGATTGCGTAACCTCATTAGTAGCTAGGCACCTAAAGGGATATAGAAGAATCCTTGATAGTTTGCAGACTTATTTGGGGCTTATTGATTCAGGAACAGTTGCTTATCCCTATAAGGTGACACCATCCCCAGTTGAACACACATGTTGTCACTGCAAACTCAAGCTGACATTTGTTCATGCAGCCAGCTCTGCTCTGCAGGGCCCTGGGGAGAGCCAGGTGCCTTGACAGGAGCCCTCAGAAAAAGCCACCTGCCTGTCATCATTGGCATGAGCTAATGGGAATTTGGGTGTCTGCATTCAACAGCAGCTTTCGGAAGACTTGCCTCTTTAAATGTACACAGAGTGAGTTTGGTTTGTTTACCCACCAGAGCCTGAAGGAAGCAGCCTCAGTACTCACACCCCCATGTGGCAGGATTTGGGAACAATGACTTGCTCCTCCCCTCCCCCCATGCCACTCATACAGCAACGGGTGGAAAATGACAAAAGGTTTGTATTCATCATCTTCAGCAAGATAGGTTTCAGAGATTTCTAGCATTTACACAAGGCAGCATAAATCATGTTGCTGATTTGTGTGTGTCTGTGTGTGTGTTTACAAAAAAAAAAAGGAGAGTCTGAATCCATTGGGGAGAACATGTGTGACAGTCACGGCCTCCTTGGATCTGCTTGAAATGCTGCAAATATTTTTCTCCACACAGAGAGCACTCAGGTTCTGTTGATGATGTTGCTGTTAGTACAGATCTCCTCGGGGGCTCTGAGTCACTCTGGCGGGAGGGTGGGAAATAGAGCGAGGGCTGTAATTTTCAGCCTGGAATAGAAGCAGCAATTTTAGGCAATTTAAAAAATTCTATTAAGGGCAATCTGTGGGTCTCCTGCTGGAAAGAGAGGACCCCTTTCGGAATGCTTGTGGTAATGCTGTGAGGGGCAGTTGGGGTCTCCAGATTTTGCATGGTCTCCTGTACCCCCAAAGCCCCCTCTGCCCTCCTCCACATCTTTAAATGGGAACATTGATAATTTCCTGCTTGGTGCAGGATGCATTACCAAGACTAGAGACGAGCTGTCTAGGTAAAGGGAGACCTCTGGGGGCTGCCAGACCTGCTTGGTCTAGTCAGAAGAGAAAAAAAAATGGGGGGAGGTTGGTTGGAGAGTTTCCCTCTCTGCAGCTGGTGAGCAGTTCTGTTGCACTGTGGTTCATGTTTTAAAAATTCTTTTTATTTAGTTGTCATTTTTTAAAGTCCCAGATGAGCCATGGGTTCTTGGCCAAAAGAGCAGACGAGTATTAGTTAGGCCTGGGAGTATTTTTTTCCCAACAAATGTCCAAGAGCTGATCTCCACTCTGGAGGGAGCGTTAGGGACTATGATGTTGAGTGCCTTAAAATTCCAATGGCAGGACCCTGGGGACCATCAGGTAGAGTTGGCCAAACCCCACAGGCAGGAAGCAAGTGCATTTCACCCTCCATGTCTTCGGGTCACACCTTGAAGGATTCAACCAACTGCTGATGGAAAATATTGAGGGGAAAAATGTATCTGTGCTGATGTGATTTTCTCGCCCTTGTTTCTAAACAGCACACCATTACAGCTGTTTACATAGCATTTGCATTGTGTTAGGTAATGAATAAATAATCTAGAGATGGCTTAAAGAATTCGGAAGGGTGTGTGTAGCTTATATGCAAATCCTACCCCATTTTCTATAAGGGACTTGAGCATCCTCAGATTTTGGAATTCACAGTGGGTCCTAGAACCAGTTTCTGAGGACTGCATTCTAGATACAGCACACTGTTATGTTCTATTTCCTTCCTTTTGTTTTGTTTTGTTTTTTTTTTTTTTTTTTTGGAAACTAACCCACTCTGGCAGTTTCACTCGATGCTATTTAGTAGAGACCTGGTATTTAAAAACATTGCAGTAGGGTTTTCTTCCAGGATGAACTCATGATAGGCACAAGAGTTCTAGGAATGTCACTGTCCCAATCCATTCCCCTTATGTTCATTGAGTTTTATAGAACAATCCTCTTTGCTGTTCCTGAAACACACCAGGGATTCTCCTACCCCAGGACCTTTCAACCTGCTGTTCCTTCCGCTTTGCACACCCCTCTTCCATCCTCAGTTCTTGACCAGGTGTCACCTTCTCCATGGGCCTCCCCCCTCAGCCCCCCTCTGCTATTTAGAATGCCAGCTCTCCCCCACCTCACACCTGCGCACTCTCTGTACCTTACTCTGGGCTTTTTGTTGGTTGCTCTTGGCCTGCTCACAGCCCTTGCGACCTACTCAGTGATCCTTATGTTTCTTATCTGTCTTCCCTGCAGCGTGGCGGTTGGGTGGGAACAGGGGTTTTATTTTGTATACTGAGGTATCTCCGTCAGCCAGGAAAGTGCCTGCTACAGGATCGGTGCTCACTCAAGGCTTCATTGGATGAATGAGCGATTTTAAAATGACAGCCTTGTTGCAGTTTTCTTGCAAGAAAATTGAGGGGACTGCAGGAAGGGCTGAGGCCTCTCTTGGGTTGGAATAAAAAATGAAGAAGATGAGGAAGAACGGCGGGGGTCCCATGCCCCCTAGTGGCGGGGGGTGGGGGTGCGCTGGACAGGATCCCTTCAAGTCCTCATCTGCGGAGCACCCAGGGGTGCCTCCCCCAGCATGGCATCTCCTTGGTAGCACCAGCTGCAGCAGGGCTTTTGTTGAGACCCCTTGAAAGCGCCCGGTCCCGCGTCGCCGCGTGTGGCTCACGGTTGATAAGGGCCATCGCGGGAGAATTTATAAATCCGTGGCTGTGAGTGAAGCAGATAAGCAGCGCTCAGACAAAAATAAAAGCATCTCTCCCCGCTTCCCGCTTCTTTCCTGAGACACAAAGAACCAGCCTGGGTCTGAGTGGCGAAGGCACATTCTGGGGAGAATGATAAAATTGGGCTGCCCGCTGTATGGGAAATATCGCCCGCCACCCAGGCTTTGTTCTCGGACCCCCTGTGCTTCCTGCAGGTGGCCTTGAGGCCTTTGCACTCCCGAAACCTGCAGGAGAATTGTACTCGCAGAGAGCCAGAGATTTCCCAGCCAGTGGAGATAAGGCAGGAAGGGAAGCGGATTTCCATTTAGCCATCCGGTTGGGCCAAATCCTCCTTGAAATATTTAATTATAAGATACATGAATGCCTAGCCCAGCAGTTCATTTTTTTTTTTTCTTGGCAAGGAAAAAAAAAATCTTCTTTTAATTAGTTTCTCAGAGGCTGGTTTTTTTCCCTTCAAATGTTTTTATTAGCTCATTGTTCAAGCCAGGAACTCTGCTTGTCAAAGGAGAGGGGTCTTTGAATAAAATAATGCTGATTTCTTTTATAATCATAGTTTACCTTCTGTATTGGTGTTCCATTTTAGAAAGTATTTCCACAGGATGTACACGCGGTTAACAAATATATGGAAAGGTGTTCAACATCGTCAGCCATCAGGGAAGCGCAGATCAAAACTACTTTGAGTCGGGCGTGGTGGGGCACACCTGTAGTCCCAGCAGCCGGGGAGGTTGAGGCAGGAGGATCTCGAGTTCAAAGCCAGTCTCAGCAACTTAGTGAGTTGCTAAGCAATTCAATGAAACCCTGTCTCTAAACGAAATATAAAAAGCACTGGGGATGTGGCTCGGTGTTAAGTACACCTGGGTTCAGTCCCCTATACAAAAAAAAAAAAAGTACACTGAGATTGAGATTTCATCTCATACCAGTCTGAAAAGCAGTCATAAAGAATATAAGCAATAATCGATGCTGGAGACGATGTGAGAAAGAGGAACACTTTTATACCATTGGTTGGGAGTATTAATTACTAAAACCACTGTGGAAATCAATGTAGAGGATCCTAGGAAGACCAGGCATGGACACACCATATGGCCCAGTTAGACCACTCCTCAGTATTTATCCTAAAGGAATTAAAGTTAGCTTACTCTATTACTACATGCACACCCGTATTTGTAGCAGCATAATTCCCAATACCCAATCGATGGAACCAGCCTCGTGTCCATCAGTGGATGGATGGATAAAGAAAATGTGGTATATATACATAATGGAGTTTCAGTCAGCCAGAAAGAAAAATGGAATCACGTCATTTTCAGGAAAATGGATGGAACTTGAGACCATTAAGGGAAATAAGTCAAACTCAGAAGATCAGGGGTCATGTGTTTCCTCTCACAGGACGAAGCTAGAGAATAAAAAGGAAAAGGAAAAAAAAAAAGGTGGAGATGGATCTCCTGGAAATCAAAGGGAGGTCCGTAGAGGAAAAGGACCCAAAGTTGGGAGGCAGGGAGGGAGAGGGGAGCCCTGGTGAGGGATACTGGCCAAATTGTATTGTTATGTGGTGTGCGTGTACAATCCCATCATCGTGTACAACTCTAAGGCACCAATCAAGAAATGTGGAAAGACAAGTATTTCCAGGGGCTGGGGTCGTGGCTCAGTGACAGAGCGCTTGCCTAGCATGTGGAAGGTCCTGGGTTCGAGTCTCAGCACCGCATGGTAAATCAGTGATTAAAATAAAGGTCCGTCAACAGCTGAAACAAATACTTAAAAAAAGGATTTCCATAAAGAAGAAATCGTGGTGAAAAAGCATCCGTGACCTGCCCCACGTCCCACAGTGACTAGTGAGGACCCAGGATGAAGCCAGATCCTTGAGGTGTACAAGGCCCCTCTGGGCCTTCTACCCAGAGGGGGCTTCCTGTCTCTCTGGTTTCTCTTTCTGCTAGGGGAGAGAGACATTTTTTGTGACATTTTTCAAGAGCCTTTTAGGTGTCAGCCACTCTGTGTAGCCCTCTCAGGAATCCTATGGAGCAGATGATGGGATCCGTATTTCCTCAGTGAGAACGTGGAAGCTCACAGCGGTTCTAGTCTAAGCAGAAACCAGACGTTGGCCATCTGAGCCCCCGCGAGACGGTGAGTCATAAACTTCCACAAATGGCAGAGAGGCCAGCGATACATAGATATATTTATAAATGAGGGAGAGCAGACAGAAAGCCTGTCTAGGGATCCTGCACTTGACTGATTCATTCTGGGAGTGATGGACAGAGGGATGGATGATGGATGGACAGACTAGAGTCCAACAGTCTCAAAGGCCAGCTCCATTTCCCTCCCAGGAACAGCCAGCCCCCCCTTGCTGAAGGACCACAGCAGATGCCTTGGTGGACATGTACAACTGGGCTTCAGCCCAGGGAAGTTGTATTTTGCCTGTAAATTTAGTCACTGGGGCGACACATCTTCTGAGTTTCAAGATGACTGAGGACAAGCGTAAGTTCTTTGAGGACACAAGCCCGTGCCTAAACCAGTGCCTGTCCCACTATGCTTAATGTTTTACGGGGGCTCATTAAATGTTTAAATGAATGAAATGTGTCACTTACCACAGGACTCTCTGAGAAGGAATTAACATCCATCAAGAGTGATGCAGTCTGCAGACTTAGAAGTATCCAAAAATAATCACCCCTGGAGAGATCTCTGTAAATCAGCAATGAAAGAGCTAAAGGAAAACTATAAATCATTCCATTACAGTTTCATACATTTACAAGTAAGTGGCCTTGGAAGCAGGATTGGCGTATAAGCTGTATTTAGACTTGGTGTGCGAAGCAAATTTGAATCGAATATAAATCTTGGTGTGGTATTTTTAAGCACCCCCCCCACCCAGGAAGGGGGGCAGGGTGCTCCTGGGGAAGAAGGAGAGTTGGAGGAGTATCAGAGCTATTTTGGAAAGTTTCATCTACATTTTTAGAAAGATGCATTTTTGAAGAATTGGAATATCAATCACTTCCCACCGGCGGGATTCTTCATCAGGGGAGAAATGGCAGCGTGTCCGATTTTCCTCGAGTCTCTCCAGAGCGCATTATTAAGTGGGTCTTGTCGCTGTGCGCCATGGGTGAAAAGAAACTCTTTCTTGGCTCCCCTCCCTGTCCCTCGCCTCCTTATTTACTGCTGGCAACAGACTTGTTAAGTGTGAAGCAAGAAGCCAGACAGAATGTTAATGCAGAGAAGACATGGGAGTTGGGGGTGCCCTGGGCCTTGAATGTAACTGACGGACAGGAGGCCCAGGCAGTGATGCCCTGCTCCCTCTAGACACTGCATGAGGAAGGAAGTGGAGCCTCATCGGTGAGCACCTCAGACAGGAGCCAAGCCCTAGCCCCTAAGTCAATAGCTTCCCACCCAAGAATGACTGAACGAGCCAGGGTCCTGAGCTTAGGTAACCGTGGGCCCAGTGAATGCTGGCTTTGCAATGGAAATTCACAATTTGGCAGGAAGTCTGCAGATTTCGAATGCATTGGCTAACTCTGCGGCTCTTCCCCCGCCCCCTGCTCATGACAGGTCTTCCTTTCTGGGATATTTCAAATTCGAGGGATGAAACAGGGTTGTCATTAGAACTGGATCCTGTCCACAGAGGCTCAGCAGTTGTGATATTCAGCAGGACAGATTCAGACCCTAGAGGCCAAACAGCTTCTTCCTCCCCAGGTGGTTTAAAACAGAGACCTGCTCTCTGTCTTGTCCGTGGGTGTGTTTGCAGGGGTGTTGGATGGCAAGGAAACTCCAGGGGCTAAATCTAGGGGCAGAGAAAGCAGTGCATATGCCTGAGGCCAGGAGCCAGGACAGATCGGTTAAAGGTCTGGAATTACGAAGGGTAGGAGATAAGCAGCAGCTCTGGGTGGTTTCCAACAGGGGCAGTTGCCTGCTTTCATGTCTGGGTCAGAACTTGCTTGTAATTGGTAGATGGATTGCTTGGATGGAAATGGAGCCTGAAAAGAATCTCTTCCCTTCCAGCAATTAAACATTCTCCCTGCGTCCTCCACTCTGGCCCTTCAACAGACCCTTTCTCCTCATGCACCGTGCAGTGGTGTTTTGCAGCCTGGTTTGAATTAGCTCCCAGGGTCCACATCCTTGAAGCTTGGCCTTCCTTTCCGCCCTAGGCTGTGTGGCGAGGTATGGTGGGACACCCAGTGTGAATCAATTGGGAAGATGCTGATGTCAGATACCTACCAGCCAGAGGTGGGGATTCTTTTAAACGTCACTTCCCTCTGGTGACCTCCTTTCCTGCCCCATCACTACCACACACACTTGACAACTCACTTGAGTACTTTGAATGGTTTTTCAAAAAGGGGTTTGTGCAGATGATTCTTTGGGGTTCAAGTAGTTATTTTTTACCCTAAAAAGTGTTTTATGTTTGACGTATGGACGGATAGGGGATCATGTCTGTAATATAAATGAACATGCATCCATTGGGGGAATATTGTCCAAAAAAAAAAAAAAATGTATTGATAAAGTGGGTTGCGGTCTGCTGCTTTAGAGCATTGAGTGAGGTGCCCAGACCTTGCACCCCTTTTCTGCTCTGTCAGGATGGCTGAGCGCCGTCACTCTTCACTGCTTTGATCCATGTCCTGCCTGACTGGATTACAAAAATAGAGACACAGAACTTCCAGAGAGAGGCAGTCGGTGACACGGCTGAATTAAGACATCTCTCCCCTCCCCTCCTGCCACTGCCCTTAGTGATCCTCTGGGTCACACAGGAGCTGTCACCGTGACTGAGTTGGTGGATCTCTGCCACGCTCCATGCACAGGCTTCATGGATGAGCTTTGCAAAGATGCCGTACGTGAAGCACATGGGCATCGGGGTGAGCCGCCCATGGCAAACAGCCTGCTTGCTGTTGCTGCTGCTAAACCTATTTATGTAACCCAAGAGTTGCTCTGTTTAAAATTGAACAAGTCAGCCACTTAGAAGATACATCAATAATCTCGTCACTCAAATGACCTCGTTCCCCTACCCCCGCACCTTGCATATGGCCTTCAATCGCTCCTCGTTTCCAGAGACAGATGGCCTGCTTCAAAAATTTTGGCTTGAATGGGGTCAAAAAGCTGGAGACGATGGCTTTCAAGTGCACAGACTTGCCAAGGAAAGAAAATTCCCGATGGGGGATGATCGCTGGTAAGGGGCAGCGTCCAATCCAATCTGTGACTGTGTGTACGTCGGCTCTGCGCCCTGCGTGGCAGAGCCCCTTCCCGTGAATGAACTTCAGCAGATGTAGTGGCTGTGACAGCTGCCTGACTCACGCCGGAGTCGGGTGGTTTATAGCTGACAGCTCTGACTCTTCTTTCACTTCTTAAGCAGAGTGTTTTAAATTAGATAGAGTTGGTTTTCGGGCGGGCAGGCAGCCAGCGTCTTCAGTGCCCCAGATCTGGATGCTAGATTAGAAAATTTGATATTTACAAATGAGCTTCACCTTGAATTAGCTGTGACTCATTTTTTAATTGTTTGTGGAAGGGGACATCTTTTAAAATCTTACTCACACAACTGACTTGCTTTTTAAAAACACAGTAAAAGTCCCCTTTTCATTAGTAAAGTACACAGTGTAATTACAGGATGTTTGGAAAATGTAGAAGAGGGGAAAGTACACCATTATTTTCTGATCCCATAAATAATTGATATTAGCCATTGGTGTGTTTCCTTCCATATTTTTTCTGTGCATAGGGTTATCAAGGCTCTTTGTTCTTATAATTATGATATTATTTTATTATTTTGCATCTTACATTATTTTTTATTTTTGTTAAGTGTTTTTCCATGTTCTTATAAACTCTTAGTAAGCATTCTTAATGGCTGCATAATTTTTTCCAAATGGATGCACCTTATTTTACTTACCCATGTGCTTATTGGTGAACCTTTAGGTTTTGCCAATGAGTTATTATAGTCAAAGCTGTTATGGCCTTTAAAGCTATTTTTATACTTTGGATAACTTCCTTAGGGACAGTGTCCATAGGGTTTTTACCAGATTTGAACACTTTTAGGGCTCATTGTACTTATATCACTAAATTGTTTTCCAAATGGACTGTATCTATTTATACCCCCACAGGCATTTGGATAGACCCCTTTTTCTCCATATCCTTGCCAACATAGGAAATTATCATTTTTTAAAGTCCTTCCTGCATTGCTAGGTAACAAATGGTATCTGTCTTGAATTATCACCACTTCCTTTTAAGTGTTGATTGAGGTTTTATTTAGGAAGACTCTGCCGTATTCTGCGTAGTTTTGTGGAAATTCTAGGAAAGTATTCTTGAAAAAAGGAAGTCTTTTTTTTTCTCATTCTACTTTTGCAAATCTCTGTCCTTGTCCTTACCTCAGTTTTAAGGCATCCTACATAAAAATATATATTTTACTGAACAATAAGAGCCAAGGATTCTGGTTATTGAGGCGACCACCCTGTTTTCAGCCAATAAAGAACTTTGCCTATATTTTGATTCTTTTTCCCTAGCCTATAACTTTTAGCAGTAACCATTGAGTGCCTACTGTTGACAGTCCTCAAAATGCGTTTTCCTTCCCTCCTTCTTTCTTTCCCTCCTTCCTCCTCCATTCCGTCTTCCCCTCCATCCTCTCTCCGTCCTCTGACAGCTCAGGTGAAGGTCTGACAGAGAGAAATTAACTGGCTAATCCATGTGCAGCAGCCCCTGATTCCTGCTTCTCTCCCTGCTGAACATGATTTATGGTTGTCTGGCAGAAGGTCAAAATCTGATTCTGAAGAGTGGGGGTTGGCGGGGGGGGGGAAATATTTGATTTCTTTGACACAGTTCATTAAGAATTCATACATCTGATCCCGAAAATGAAACGTTTCTTCACGTCCACGTGAGTTACAGCGGGAGCCTAGAGCAAGACCTGGGTATTCAAGTGCAACACTGTCACCGAGTAATCACATCGGCATCTCGGTGCCTCCTGGTGGGGCGAGAAGTGGGGAAGGCCATCTGGGCCCCAGAGGGTGGAAATGAAAGCTTTCTCCTGTGCCTGGGGGCCTTGCTTGTAAACAGAAGGCAGTTCATTAGAGAACTTCTCTATCTTGAAGAGCCCCCGTTTCCTTCCTTTGTCAGTTTGTTTGACAAATCCATATCTGGTCTCAGCTCTTGAAGTCTGTGTGATAATTGATTAATAAGAGAGATGGCTTCTCGCAGAGCTCCCTGCTGGATCTTTCTGAGTTCCTCTTCCTTGGCCGTCGGACTGACCGTGTCTAGACTCCCAGCCTTTTATCATCAACACCATAAACGGCTGGAAACCTCATCTTCTAGCCTAATGATTCTCAAACTGTGGTGCACGCGTGAATCATGGGCTCCGTGAAAGTGAGGATTCGGAGGCAGCTGGTCCAGGAGGGCCTGAGGATTCGGAGGCAGCTGGTCCAGGAGGGCCTGAGGATTCGGAGGCAGCTGGTCCAGGAGGGCCCGAGAGAAGGAAGTGCTGCCCCGTGATCCCAGCACCCCACTTGGGAAAGTGAGGCTGTGGTCCTCCACATCCGTACTGGGTTGAAGAGGGTCCTTCAAGAACTTACGTCCACCCAGGACCTGTGAAGGTGACCTTACTAGAAAATAGGGTCTTTGGCGGAGGAAGTGAAGTTGAGTGTCTAGTCAGAGTTCTCCAAGGAATCCAGAAGGTAGGAAGGAGAAATTGATTGATTTTAAGGAACTGGCTCATATAAGTGCCAAATCGACAGGATACGCCAGCAGGCTGGAGACCCAAGGAAGAGTTAACGTTACAGTCATGAGTCAGAGGCAGACTGGAGGCAGAATTCCTTCTTATTCCAGGGACCTCAGTATTTTCTCCTAAGGTCTTCAACTGATTGGATGAGGCCCACCCACACTATTTTGCTCAAAGTTGAGATTATTTAGATGTAAACCACATTTAAAGAAATAACTTCACAGCAACATCTAGACTGATAGTCTTGACTAAGAGCTGGGTATCATAGCCTAGCCAAGTTGACACATAAAATTAACCTTCTCAGGCTGGGATTATGGTTCAGCGATAGAGCACTTGCCTAACACATGCAAGGCCCTGGGTCTGATCCCCAGCACCACACACATACACTAAAAACCATCACAATGAGATCATACTATGTGGGCGCTACATCCAGTAGGACTGGTCTCCCTATAAGAAGAAAGAAATAGACACAAAGATAGACACACAGGACCACATGAAGTCAGAATCAGAGGTTGAAGTGATACAGCTCCAGGCAAGGATTGCCAGCAGCCATCAGGAGCTAGAAAGAGTCCAGGACTCTTCTCCAGAGCCTGCAGAGGGAGCCTGTTCCTACTGGTACTTTGCTTTTGGACTTCTGGCCTCCAGAACTGAAAGAATACATGTCTGTTACTAGGCTACCTGTTTGTGGTGCTTTGTTATAGCAGCCCTAGGTAACTAATACAGCTTCCTAACTGGGGTAGGTCAATGTCGTGGCTAAGGACATCACCACAAACCCACAGTGCTTGTCCTGCCTGCCAATCTTCTGCCTTGAAAATGGACCCAGAGTCTAGGTTTCATCACAGAAGAGCAGTCCAGAGCCACCGTGGCTGGGAATGACTTGGTCAGGGACCCCGCCCCTCTCCCGGACCCTCAGATTGGTGTGGGAAGGCATCTGTTTCCTCCCTGCCTTCAGGTTACTGGGCAGCCTGGTGACAGATGAGGAGGAGTTAAATTTGCTTTCCTTTAAACAAACTCTGCTAATTAAAATGTACCCCCACCGGGATTGTCGTTTGCCATAAGTTATGCATATTTCATTAACATTTGCTTTAAAAACCAACAAGACCATAAAGTTAAGATTGCTTGAGCCGAAACGCCGTCCAGATTTAATATGCGTGATATAACCTCCCAGCATCACAAGAAGCTTTGAGCAGGCAATTTTTGGTGCCTTGCTGATACTTGTTTTATAACAGGAGGAGAATCAATACCGTGTGAGGGTTGGACTAACGACCTGAGCCGTTGTGAACTAAAGCAATAATTAAAGTTACAGTATTCACCAGGCAGCGTGCTTGTAGGGGAATAGACAGATGATTTCATTCTCCTTCTTTTTTTTTTTTGCCCTGCCTTGGGCACATTTGGTGGCATTTTCGGAGGAGATAGGATCGGGGGGTATTTTTTTTTTCTGCTAGGGAATGTTGAAGTAAATGTCAGTTGGGATCAATACGTAGACTCCACAAGGAAAGCCAAGCTACAAATGTCACTCATTCACTTTTCGGCAGTAGTGGTGTGTGTTTGGCTTAGAGCTGATGCCCAAAACCAGTGACTTCAACTTTAGCCAGGAGTACCAACCGAAACTGGTGGTCAGGAGATAAAATCACCCTGGAAAAGTTGAGTTCCTCTTAACAGCGATAGTGTGGGAAGATCAAATTTCCTGCCAGTGTGATTTCTTGACACTCTAATTCATCCAATTAAGTTGACTCTCAAGACTGCCGGGAGATGGTCTCAGCTGTGTTCT